TCGAGCATCATTTATTCGGTCTGAAGTCACTTTTGTTGACCTGTTGTACTAAAGTAGCACTCGAGAAAAAATACAGCTTGCGTTTTTATAGATCACATATTTTTTAAAAGGCTTACACTACTTATACAAAGAAACTATTATTTCGTAGCCCAAGGGATGGTAGTTTCATCTTTTATTAATTACACTAATTTTTTAAATGTGTATAAAAATTATCATTTAGTCGCATTATGTAAAACTGTAACGGAATTATCGCATTCTTTCATGCATTTGCCCAGCCAGCAAATGAAAGATCCATGGTCCCATTTCCGATAAGGGATACGTTTTATTTTCATATTTCTTGCGTTGAAACGACTTAATGATACCTTAACTGGTGCCCGAAATAAAATGTTCTAAGGTCAATAAATCGTCATTTCAAAGAAGGTCGACTCGCTTTCATGCTTTTTCCAATTCGTCTTTTTACGTGGACGAGAGTGCAAAGAACTATTGCATTTATCCTTGCATGTTCTTGTGGTGAAAACACGTGCAGTTTGTCTGATGGGAAGAGACGCAAATTATTTATCGAATAATTTTTAGGCCTGATTTCACAACCAACATTCTTCAGTATTTTTCTCAATATTTCGCATATTTTCGACTTATTAATATTTACTCCTAATCAAGATGAATAGGCTGGCTGAAGAACACATTGCACCCCGGAAGACATTTGTCCTATTAAGTAGATAGTCTTAATATGTTTAATCATAATCCAAATATTTCGATTCATGATTCTTTGATTTTCAGTAATTGCTTGATAAACGTTAAGTTCAGTTCTAGGAGCATTATTGAAAATAAAGCTGCAAATTATTAAGAAGTATGTATATTGCATTTTAATCCCTCATTTTTTACACTGATATGAAATGCACAGTATTAATCGAAAGATCTTTCGCAAAAGCGGAATAGTATGATGATTTTAAGTAATGCGTCGAAAGAAAAATAACTTTTGAATTTGAGACTCTAACAAGCTTTACCCTCATGTAATTTGTAAAGCTTGTTACAGAAATACTTTAATAAGTCATTAAAGAAAGGGAGGATTGTTAAATGAAAATAATTCTCATAGCTGGTTATTTGATTAATTCAGTGTCAGTGCAACGTAACACGATACAGAGGAACTAAATGGTAGATTTTCTAAAGTTAAAACTCTTTTGTAGAACTAGAAGAACAAAGTTCACGTATTATGATTAAAATGGCTATGTTAAAAAAGGGAAAACATCTGGGTTCAAGTTAAAGAAAAGAAGTCCCATTTGGTTTGAATTCTTGCAGAGTAAGATTATGGTAAAAAATGAAATCGTATTCTATGACCGGTGAGGAAGCAAACAGTATAACGTGTTTAAATATAAAAGAAAATGTTTCTACAGGCCATAAAACGTGCAGTTAAAGAGGTTTTGTTACATAACAACTCCTAAACCCTAAATGCGTTAATATATTAACGCAAGCGAGAAGAATACATAATGCATAAAATCTTACCATGAGTATAAATTGCAGTGGTTTTAAACTGCATTAGAAGCTAAAAACATAATAAGCCTAATCCCATAAATCATTTGTATCCTCTAAAGTCTGGAAAATTTCATGCCTTCAATTATATTTATGCTCTGAATTTCGAAAATTCTAAACATTTATGGCTTTCATTTATGTTGGATAACTGTAGATAATTATCTTAAACATTTAAAAGGCCAGTGCCAACTTTAGATACAATTTGTTTGCATGTCTTCATAATAGTGCCCGGCTTGGTTTCGGTGAATTAATCGTTTGGAGTGAGAGCCAGTATTTTCTATTTGTAGAAATAGCAACAAAGATTATTGATATAGAAGTTTGAAGTTTTCTGATGTAGTGCTTCATATTCTGTATTGTAGCCTGTGTTTCTGATTCGATAGCATTAAAATATAATGCATTTTAATTCAACTAAGCAAAGCTTTGGGGATACAGTTCTGAATGCCTATGAATAACTCTTTTCTGTCAACTGCGCATTAAGCAAAGATAACGGAATTAGTTTTTAATTTCCGTCGAAAGGGAAAAAATCTGTGGTGTCCCTCAAATACATCTCGAAGGAAAACATCAAGATGAAAACAACGCAAGGGGAAAAATATGATAACAACTACAAAATATCGTGAGAGAAAAGACAACAAAGGAAAAAACATCGCAGCTCTCAAAACTTCGTGGTGTAAAATATTACGGTAGAAAATAAATCTCGGCAAAAACTTCGCAGTTTTAAATTTCGTGGTAAAACGATTAAGCACCTACAAATAATCGCATGATGATATAATATTGTAGACATATGTTTTCTGCTATAAAAATGTTAAGTGAATTTTTGCGTAATTATTTGTGAGTAAAAAAAAGAAGTAATAATTTTACCTCTATATTCCATATTTTTTTGGTTAAGTAACAAATTTTCACTAAAAACGCAAGAAGGAAACTTAAAAATTCAAAGATCTACAAATTAACAAAAATTAATACTACCTATAGCAATTAATAGCAGCAGAATTTTAAATTTACATTGATAGCTGTTAAAGGTAATTACTTAATTAACCTCTTTTATAAAGAAGTATAAGTAGATTTTCATGAAAAAATATAATATTGAAAAGATTAGAAAGAGGAACATACATAAGTTTAAAATTCTATCAACTGCCATACCTAGGATTAATTTTTACTAATTTCTAGATTTTGAATGATGAAGTTTCTTTCTTGTTTTTTAAATAAAGACATATTAGTTAATGTAAAATAGGAAATAGATAAAAATACTACATCTTTCTTCTCGTGCTCTCAAATCATTACACGAAAATTCGCTTAAATTTTTCAGTCAGAAGATACATAGGTGCTTTATTTTAGCATCGATATTTTGTACGACGATGTTTTAAAACTTCCAAGTCATTGCACATCTTCTGTTTTCTACCTTGACATTTAAACCATTTCCCCTTGCTTCCTTTTCTCCTACTGTATTTTGTACGACGACGTTTTCGCCCTTGTGTTGTTTTCTCCGGGATATTTTTGTCGCAATGTTTTCACCTGTAAACGTCATGAGCAACTCTCTTAATATCAAATATGAAATGAAAGGAGTAACATAATTAGTTTTTAATTTAAAAGGAAAAATATTGTTATTAAATCTCTCATTTAGACATGATTATTTCCTCAAAACAGTTCTAAAAGGAATAATTATGGAAGAGAAATTATTTTTCATTTGCAATTTATTCCTTTTCGTTTGTGCAGCGATAGTTTGAGTTAAAAGGTCTTTATATGTTCTTTACCAGATCCTTATCCGTGGAGAAGATATTTTATTACTGAATAATATGTGCGTTATCATTTACGTTTCAGAGAAATAATACCAGGGAATTACAAATCCCAGCATTATATTACATATATACATATATATGAGTTACAAATATGTTATAAAAATGTCTAACTTTAATTCGTAAAGCCTCTTAATTCTTCTTTTTAACTTGGTTGTTTTCTTTTGTTGTCCTCAGAACAGTAATAATGGTATCACAATAATACTTTTGAAGTGCTCATTTCAAAATTAATCTTGGTCATGCAAGTCTTTTTAACGCTAATGAAATGTTTATTTGCTTAATAGCAAATAGGAAAAAGTATTTTATTAACATTGTTAAAAGGTATTCAAACTAAAATGTTTAATAAACTAACAGAAATAAATCGGTGCTATATAACTTCAGTTCTTGATCTAATATCATTCTTGAAATCTTTATTTTTCTAGCACTTGCCTATCTCTGCCGTTCTATTATCAGTGTTGCTGCTTCTCTTCATCGTGTTGTTTAATACTACAACTGAACGTCCGTCATTATTATTGTACACAGCTCATACATCTTGCATGTATTTTGTTGTGTAAATATTTTTCAAGACTATTTTTCCGTCTATAAAAAAGCGTGTTCACTAAGCCATGACTGCATCTTTATTGCAACCATCCAATTATCCTCATCATCATTATTATGATCTAAAAAGTAAAAATTTTTACTCCACATAATATATGTTTTCGTGATTCTTCACTCCATAATTTCATTATCAAACATATATTGTAATGGAACTTGTAGGAAACGAACAGGAAGACAGAACCAGTTTTATTGAATCTTTTGGATGAGTACGCATTGTGGCTTAAATTTCACAAGTCATTTAAAAGTAATTTCTTTTCTAAGCAACGAGACGACATTACTCTTTGAACGAATTATAATCTTAGCTTTGCTAAAATCTTATAACAGGATAACGTGAAACGAACCAATTAATCCTACCAAAGTATATCACGGCACTATTTAATCAAGCTGAAGTAATTTCGTAGGCGGGCTCATTAAAGCTTCCGTGATTGGGCCACATTTAAAGGAGAAACTTCTGACATTGAGTATTTTATAGTCGTTTTCTTTTCATTGTGAAAGTTAGGGAATTTTCAAACATTTTCCATGGTAAGTGCATATTTATGTTTCATTGCAAATAGCCGTATAAAATAAATTGCAAGATTTGTGCAGGAAATACACAATAGCTTTGCCCTGGTATCAAGCATGTGGAGAATTATGATTAGTGTCTGATCATGACTTAAATCTTAATTTCTACAATCTTGCTTTTCGGTGTTCGATCTTATGCCTATAATAATAGTAACCATGCGGTTATCAAATGTTAATTTTTATAAATACTATTTGCCAAAACGTGCTGTTTATAAATATTTTCCAAATATGCTCTAGCAGATACAACATTTACTTTTAGCATCCGTATAAAGGCACAAATGCATGTGAATACGAAAATGACAAAAAAATAATACCATGATTTTTTGTCATTTTCTAAAATACTACCTACATTAAGTCTGAGATCTTCCTGAATTACTAGGCTTCATCAGAAAAATATGTGCATATTTAACGATGTGCAATAAAAATTATAATGCATAATGTTTTTATATTTCTTGGAAAAGTATAATAATCTATATATATTCTTAATTTTATTAATTAATAATACTCATCTTTTTTACGTTGCAGGAATTCCTTAATGAAAGCTGTATGTACTGAGTTAAATAAGAGTCGGTCCCAAACAACAAAACTGGAAGAAGGTTTGATGAAATAAAACAGAATTTACTGCGATTATGTCAAGCGCATCATTCCCAGCAGAAATTTCGCCCTGCAGAATTTGCTGCATTACTCCTTTTTTGAAATAGTGAAGTAGAAGAGATTTTAATGTTTCATCCATCTTGAAATATACTTGAAAACTATAAAGTTACACTTAAAGATATATTCCAAATTTTAATCTCATTCATATTTGTCAAAATACGCTTTTAAAGTGACAAGTAAAATAAAAACTACGTGTAAACTCTGAGTATCTTTGATTCTGTTATTGCTAAGATCATAAAAGTTCATAAAAAGTTTGGTCTTATTTCAGGAAAATAAAATTTAACAAACAGGGGTATAAAAAATTAAATTTTCATCTCTCTGGCTACTTCTGGAATACAATTGAAGTGTATGTCATTAAATAATAAAAATAATATAATGTATGGCAAAGAGAAGAGACTTTCATAAAAATATTTTATTTTAAATTGACATGAAAACAAACATTTTAAACAAACGAATCCACATCAGCACCTAAACATTCTCTCTAATGGGTACTTTCCTTTGAAGATGTAAATTTCGGTCTTCATAAGAGTGCTGAAAGTAATTTAGTGGATTGGATTGAATTATTGTAATTTGGCACAAAACCTATCAAGGTTATCTGCGCCAGAAAAGTGGTAACAATGCAATTAGTTATTTGTAAAAACTTCTAGCTTAGGTAAAAAGAGACAGATTACAGTCTATGATAAAAGCTGATATCTTTTAAAAAAACAGGTTAAAGTCTATTATAAAAGCCAATATCTTTTAAAAACAGAAACAAATTACGATGATGTGTTTTTCCAATTAAATTCCTAAGTTCAGTTCTGAACAATTAAATGTTTTTGGCGAAAATAATTAAAACTCTGGCATTCCACCAAGATGTGATGGTCTGTCAGATCTGCATTGCAGTTTGGGCAGCTGGGATTCTCTTCTCCCTTCAGAAGATACTCATGGGTCAGGCGACAATGGCCAATTCTCAGTCGAGTCAAGAGGACATGCTCCCTTCAATTAGCCATACATGGCCAGTATCCAATGGTGGGTTTAACATTTCTCAGCTTGTTATATACTTTGTCATCCCATTGCTTCTGCCATTTGCTGAGAATTTTGCTTTTGACAAAGCCTTTGATGTCTGCTAGTGGAATCTGAAGATTGTACATTGTGGTTGCAGTTTTAGCTGCAATATCCGCCAATTCATTCCCCTTAATGGCAACATGTCCAGGGATCCACGAATAAAGAATCTGGTATCCCCCAATTTTTAAAGAATGATTCAACTTCAGGATTCTGGTTGCAACTGGGTAAGTACATCGAGCGTAATTTTCCAATGACATTAAGGCACTCATGGAATCTGTGTAGATAATAAACTTTATGTACTTTTGTTTTGAAAGGTAAGTCAAAGCCAGATGGATTGCAGTAAGCTCAGAAGTAAGCACAGAGCAAACTGTATGTAATCGAACCCCCACTACTGTTTTCTCTGTGACGAAAGCGACACCAACATGATCCTGAGATTTTGATCCGTCTGCATATAGAGGGATATATTTCCTATTTGTTTCTATTTTAAAAAAATCTGCTTGTACATAATTTCGTTAGTTTGATTTACTCCAGTGTCGAAAAGTATCCAGAGAATGGATTACCAATCCTCCCAAGAAGGAATTCCAAAAACATCCTCCACCTGTATATCTATATTAGAAAAATTATACTCCTCCGACCAAAGCACTCATCCGAAAGCCGAAAGATGGGACACATGATAGTCGTGCCTGATATAAACGGGAGTATTGGTCACTAAGCAATTTTGACCGCGTAGAAATTTCGGTTTGTGATAAGACTTGGTTTGTGATAAGACTTCGGTTTGTGAATTAATGCTTAAAACAAAGATTTTCACGTCTTAACTGCAGGGAGGTCTCGTTACTTTCCACATATAAGCTTTCCACTGGAGAAGTTCTAAAGGCACCAGTGCATATCCGAAGTGCTTGGTGATGTATCGGATCAAGTTTGGCTAATACTGAAGGCCTTGCCGACCCATAAATGATTGATCCATAATGTAGTTTCGAACAAATGAGAGCTCTATATATAAGAAGCATTGAGCCTCGATCAGCACCCCAAGAAGTATTTGACAGTACTTTCAGAATATTCATAGTTTTAAAACATTTCTTTTTTAGATAGGTAATATGGGGAAGGAACGTAAGCTTATGGTCAAATATCATTCCTAGGAATTTTATTTCCTTTTCTACAGGAATCAGCACATCTTGCAGATAAAGTTCGGGGTCAGGGTGAGGAATTTCCTTTCGACAGAAATGTACACACACAGTCTTTTGAGTAGAAAATCTAAAACCATTTTCCTGCGACCATTTAACAATTCTATTGAGAGATGTCTGCAGTTTACACTCAATGTCTTTCAGATCTTCTCTCTGGCAACTGACTTGCAGGTCATCGACGTAGAGCATACCCTGGACTGCTGGAGGCAGTTGTTTTAAAATATAGTTAATTTTTTATACTAAATAATGTAACACTTAATACACTTCTTGCGGAACGCCCTCTTCTTGATGAACATGTCAGAAAGTGTATCGCCTATCTTCACATGAAACTTCCGATCCTGTAGGAAATGTTGATGAATATCGCATGTTTCCTCGTAAACCATTGCTATATAGATCACGAAGGATACCGTATCTCCAGGTGGCATCATAGGCTTTCTCTATATCAAAGAAAATGGAAACATAATGATTTCTTCTAACGAACGCTCTACGGATACCTGTTTCTAAGAGTAGGATATTATCGACAGTTGCTCTTCCTTTTCTAAAACCGTTCTGATAAGGGGAGATACAATTATTTGTCTCTAAATAATAGACCAGACGAGTGTTCACCATCTTTTCAAAGAGTTTGCAGAGGCAGCTAGTTAGAGCGATGGGGCGGTAATTTGACGGATTAGTAGGGTCTTTTCCCGGTTTAACAATGGGGATGACAAAAGCTGTTTTCCAAGCATTTGGAAAGACTTGTTCTTTCCATACTATATTAAAGAGAGAGAGGATGGCTGCCAATGACTTGGAAGGGAGATGTTTCAGCATAGGATAGGCAATATCATCTGGACCAGGACATGAATTTTTTGTCTGCAACAGAGCTCTTTTCAGTTCAAGCACTGTAAAATCCTGATTATATGGTTCAGTATTGGAAGATTTAAATTAATTAGTTGTTTTTTCAATGCATTTTTTTTTTTTTTTTTTTTTTTGCGGAAAGAAATTCAAGAGGGTAGTTACTAGTGTGCGAGACTGCTGAGAAACTGCTGTCCAATAGCGTTGGCAATTCCTTCCCTACTAGTAACTGCTTCACCCCTTGTCTTTAAAATGGAAAGTGTGTGCTCTTTGCAGATACCGGACGCTTTCCGGACTCTCTCCCAGACCTTCTTACTCGAAGTTGAAGAGCTAATCGAAGATACATACGAGATCCAAGAATTCTTCCGACTTTTCCTTCGCACCTGCCGAGCTTTTGATTTAGCCCTTTTGAATATTACGAGATTTGATTCCTGAAGGATATCGCCGAAAAATGCTCCAAACTTTCCTTTGTTTTCTGATGGCATCCTGGCATTCAGGATTCCACCAGGGCTTTGGGTATTTTGGCTGTTTTACCGACGTTTTTGGTATACATATATCGGCTGCTTGAATAATTTTAGCTGTAATGATCTTCACAGCATGATCAAAGTGCACATTCTTTACTATTTCTTCAGTGAAAAGAGCATAGTGTTTGAAAGAGTCCCAGTCGGCTTTGTCCAACAAAAAGCGTGGTGTTCTAAGTAACTCCTATTTCCTGTAATGCTTATGATAATAGGAAAATGATCGCTATTATATAGATAATACTCGACATTAAAGAAACAAAATGGCAAAAGCTGTGGAGAAACAATAGCAAGGTCAATGGAATGGAAGGTCCTTGTTGGCTGATGAAAATAAGTGCTTTCAGCGTTGTTGAGGATACAGAAACAGTGGTCGTGGAGTAGCTGTTCAATTTGCTTCCCGCGTGGGTTTATGTCTTTACTACCTCCACAAGGGATTGTGTCCAATTGAAATCACCGACTAATAAACGGAGCTGGTAGTTGGGCAATTAGATCCTCTAAATCTCTTAAATTAATGTTCTCATTAGGCGGGATGTAAATACTGCAAACAGTAGTCAGTGTTCGAATGCTCAACTGTACTGCAACTGCTTGGAGAGCACTCTAAGGGCAATTAATTGAGGTAAGTAGACAGACACCACCACTTGCGCGTTCAAGTGAATGTCTTATCGTTTCTTATCATTACGTAGCTTTGCAACATTACCAGATTTGAGAAATGTCTCTTGTATCGCTATACAAATAGGTCGATATTTATTAATAAGTTGCTTAATGCCATCAATACCCTGATAGAAGCCCCGGCAGTTCCACGAAATGAGAGTAGCCATTAGGAATGTTTATTGTTTCGATGCTGTTTCTTTGTTTTGTGAGGTAGAACATTTTTCGAGAGATCTCTGCCTCCATCTGTTTCCATCTCAGATTCGATAAAGTCTGAAAAAATCCCTTCAATAGAGCTTCGGCTTGAGCTTCTCTTTTCTGAGCTTTTGATTTTCTTTTTTGAACTCTGTGTCTTGTGTTTTTATTTCTCGACTTTCTATTGTCTGTTTGGGAGGAGGTAGAGGAAAAACTTTTTCTTTATCATTTGTTTTTTGTTCAGGTGTCTTCTTCTGTGTGCTATGCGATGTTTGTGTACATTGACCGATATGATTTAGTGGCTTGAGCATAGGAGACATTTGCTTTTGACTGACCCGTGCTAAAAAGTTTCTTAGCTTCACGATAGGATATTTTTCTTCTAGGCTTAATATGCTGTATTTCTTTCTCTTCTTTCCACTTAGGGCAGTTTCATGAGTATGCTGGATGATCGGCATTTACACATTTTGGATCAGCTACACATTCCTGACTTTCGTGACCACCTGCAGAACAGCGAGCACATGCCAGGTTTCCCCGGCATGCGGCCTTCGCATGGCCAAACCGTTGACACTTGAAGCAGCGCAGTGGGTTCGGCACGTAAGGTTTGATGGGGCAATTCAGGGAACCTGCCTTAATGACTTTCGGTAGCTCTGGAGATGAAAAAGTCAGAATAAGATGTTTTGTGTTGACGAGTTGCCCGTCTCTACGGACTTTTATTCGGCGGACCCCACACACATTTTGCTCGGCGAGTTCTTTTGAAAGTTCATCCTCAGAGACTGATATCAAATCTAT